AAGTACTGGCACTTTGACACTCAATTCAGGACACAAGATTGACAGGCAGCTTCTTTGTGTCTTCACTTGATGTTAAATGCATTTTGTGGTCAAAATGCTTGCCTTGCCAAGAAATTAATGTAAATAGTTTTGTCAGTGAATGCACAGTAGACAGGCAGGCAAAATATCATGTTAAAAAACATGTACTGTAGATTTGAGCAGTCTTGGAGTATGAATGCAGACACTGACTTTTTGGATAACTTTAGCAGCTTCAATAGGCCTCAACAGTTAGATACGGAAACACTTCAAAGCACTCTTTGTTCTATGGCTTTTAATATTTTTTATTCTCTTTGCACTCCTATTCAACTTTTCAATAAATAATTCTCAAATACAAATAAAGCTCAAATCATGCTTAAAAGCTTTTTTCCTTGATTCAGTTAATGCACAAATTTGCTTGAAGGAAATCAAATTATATCAAGAAGGTGTTGGACTCTTTTAACTAGAACACGAAACCTCCATTCTAACAGCTGCCATGTTGAGCATTGAGAATTGTTCTATGAGTGGTCTGTCTCCTCCTTACACTATCTCTGGTGTATATATAGTTTCAATGTCGAGAAAGAGACAGATCAGTGTAGTATAAAGCAATTTCTAAATCTCTCAAAATGTTGACGTTGTTTCAGCTGAAAAAGACACTGTACTCCACTTTTTCTTGCCCACAGTTATTTTCTCAGAAAGTGACACACAGTGACTTACACGAACACAAAACGATCTCTATATATACACAGCAATGGATAAAATAGGGTTGTGTGTGTCAGAGGTACAGATGATCGTAAGTGAGAGAAACATACAGTGACTCGTCTAGAGCACCTCCAAGTCAGTGTCAGCATGTGGGCTGGACTCATGTAGTCAGTGATGGACCGAGGCCTGACTTCCCCCTAAATACTACCACCCCAGCAATAAGTCACTGGTGTATCCACACAGAACCATGTGTTTTAACAGTTTCTAACAGTCTAAATACTGCTCTCTGCTTCAAGAACAGGAGGCAGATGTGAATGATGTGATAAGGACGTCTGCACTAAAAAGCCCTTTGTGTGGGCGATTTGAGGTTGATTTTAAATCAAAATTGACACCATTTACTTTCTCAGTACAGGTTTATTCTCCTAATGTGGATGATTTCATCAGTTCTGCTGACGTCAACCAAGTCTAATTTTCGCAAATCAAGTCAATTCCTAATGGAATTCCTGTTTATACCCTGTTTCACTCAGAAATACATCACAGTACAGTAGCAAATTTTTTTTATATATATAAAAATATAAATTCTGTCATAATTTACTCACCCTCGTGTCATTCCAAATCGCTATGACGTACTTTCCTCTGTGGTAAAAAAACGGTTTTACCAAACCCAAACAATGATAGTCAGTGTGTTCCACTCACTTCAATTTTACAGACAAAAACATTTGTATTTATTTTTTTAAATATCTCATTTTTGTTCCCCAAAAGAAAAAGGTTTGGAATAACATGAGGGTGAGTAAACGATGACAATTTTCATTTTTGGGTGAACAAGCCCTTAAAGACTGTGCTATAGTGAATAAGGCATAAAATACCACTGGTCGTTCTGCAAGACCGCAAATAAACTACATCTAGGATATTGTTCAACCACAAACAAACAGCAACCTTCAAAATGAAAACTTATGATTTAGAAATATAACAGCTGCTAAAATTTCCTTTCCACCCAGGCACCTGATTATGATTTAAAATCTAAAATTTCAAACTCAATTGGAAACACTCAGATTAGTAAGAGAGTGCACAACAGAAGTTAAAAATAGTATCTACACCTACACCTATTTGCCAATGACAACCCTTTATCTTATATTGCCTAGATAGGATATGACAGAAAGAGACTAGAGAGACTAAGTGTCAGAAGTCCGATGAGAAGTGGAGAGAGAGGCTGATGATGCGGTCTGAAGCTGAAGACGATGGAGAGATGAAGAGCCCTTGAAGAGCCAATAAGATGAGAAACAGAATTGAATGCAAACATGTTTTAATCCACTGACAGTTCAGAAATATTTAGATCAGTATAAATCTTTACACTCGCCAAATCTGCTGAAGACTATATATGGTTCATTTAAAAGAAGTGTGAAGCTCTCATTTCAATTTTAAATGGTTTTGACTTTGAAAATGTCTCTGGCTGGTTGGGTAAACTCTCTCACCCACCCACTCGCTTACTCAAACAAAACAAAAAATTTTTTTTTGATGGGCATCAGCATGCTTGTTCTGACCTCATGAACATATGAATATAGCCCACTTAAGCCATCCACTAAGCCTCTATATTCAACACATTCACAGAACATGCAAAATCATGTATTTGTTCACTAAATCTTTAAAAAAAACGGAAGTATGGAATATGTGTTATTTATTTGAATTGCAAAAATCTGAAGAAGCAACACTCTTGATTCCACCAAGAGTGTGAAAGAAGAAACCAAAGATTCATAGAAAGATGCTGCTGTCTTTAACGAGAAGGTTCATGGGAGTGTTTAGAGTGATCCATGCACAGATTGGTATGAGATAAGAAAGTGGCCATCTGTGAGGAAAGGAGGTTTTAATATCCAGCTCCTGGCTGATGAGAATCAAATCACTCTCCTTGGCATCTTAGTCATTTGAGGTGACGATAATGGCAATAGGCCGATTTGAACACACTCTGGTGTATCTCTGAGGTCTCTGGATGCATGTTGCCTGATTACTGTGGAAGTGCTGATGATGAGATTGGCTGTGGGGTGATTAGAAGAGACTCTAGCAGCACTAAAGCCTTAGGACACAAGGGGAAGGTTAAGCCTTTACTGACTTAAAGATTAGGTCAACCTAATGTATGCATGAAGACCATAAACTAGAGACCACAACGAAGCAGATCAAAAAAAAAGAAAAGAAAAGTGTTTTTCTAGGATTCTGTGTGTGTGGCTAACGCAACTCGTGATTCTCTGAGTCCGGACACAAATCCCCTGTCCTTCAGGACGATATGAAGTTGTCTTTGTGTTCTAAAAGCATCTGGAGCATCTCTCATAGTCACCTGGAGGCCAGCGGCAGAGCCTCTAGTATCTTATCTCAATCAGAGAGCTGTTAATCCATCCATGGCCTTCCTGCTGCTCTTTCAGGCCTGTCTGTCCTCACTCAGGTCAGGCCAGATCGAAGACGGGTGACAAGTTTCTGGCTCTTCACAGGCACCTGCTCTCTCGCTTTTGTTGACGGCAACACTTAGCCAACACTCAGCCAACCTTTACCCTGCCATTTATTCACTGTTAACATAATAGTGAATGAAGTGTGATGTATGATGTAAAAAATGCTATTTAAAGCTGTTCAGTGGAAATATATATATATATATATATATATATAAATTAATGTTTGATGCATGACAGCCATACTCTAACACATGCAAATTATCTCCGCAGTCCATTTACAGAAAGCTGCAAAAATTGATAATTTAGAAATTGATGTCACAACCACAAGCAAATTTATCAACATGAATGCAGCATGCTCAGAAAGAGGGTGGAAATAAGATCCTGTATGTTGAGTAATATTATAAGTGGAGAGGAAAAACATAAAATTCCCCAGAAGTGTAGAAAGTCTCCCAAAGTCTTGTTTTATCAGGATCATCCAAGAAATCCACTAACTTAAGGTTTAAATTCTTTGAAGAAGAAAAAAAGAGAAAGAAAAAGTGTTGCTGTGCTTTGAAAAACAGCTACCGTGGCAGTATCAAAATGATCCTATTTGGATAAAAGGAAAAGTAATAAAGGTTGGGTTTTAGCCCTGGCTTGTTTCTTAGGAAGTAAAATACTTGTATGTTTGCTAAATTCTTTAAGCACGACTTGCTTGGTTTAAAAATTTTATTGAAAAGTTTCATGGTACTGAGAGTTTTTATGTTTAAATGTCAAAACATAGTTCCTTTCTTTGCGATTCAATATTGATAAAAACAATTGGTAACACTTTACTTGAAGGGGTGTGCATAAGACTGACATGACACCTTCATAATCATGACATGACACATGTCATGAATATGAAGGAGGTTGTATGCATATTTATGACAACTGTCATTAAGTGTCATTCGCTCAGTTATGTCATTTTTAATGCAAATATGACATTATTTGACCTAACCCTAACCTAACCCTACCCCTACCCTTACCCCTAACCATAGCCCATAACAAAGACATCTCAAACAATGTCATCTTTGCATAAAAAATTACATAACTGAGCGAATGACACTTAATGACAGTTGTCATAAACATGCATAAAAACCCTTCATATTCATGACATGTGTCATGTCATGATTATGTAGGTGTCATGTCATGATTATGAAGGAGTCATGTCAGTCTTATGCACACCCCTTCAAGTAAAGTGTAACCAAACAATTATTCCTGGCTAAAAATCTTGCTGAAAAGAGACCGTCTAAGCCATTCACTTCTTAACACACAAGTCACTGCCTTTGAGAGGTGGGTCGTAATGCTTTACAAGTACTCTGACAAATTTCTTTAAGTAACTTGTGTGAAGAAAAAAAAAACTTCTTAAGAGTAGGTCCTCAATTTAAGGAAAGTATTTTAACTCTTCGAATTGAGACATTTTGTTTTATTAATCTGGTGTATCTATCTCAAGATGCTGTGCAAATCTACTGATTTTAGTGAGATACGATTTTAGTTCTCCACCCAAAACCCAAGATGTGTATACATCTTCCCATTTTTGGGTGACCATTTGCATTATGAAACATGTTCAGAGTTTCATAATGTCTCCATTCATATACTTTTTTCACCATTTCACCATGATCACCACCAGTGCTTTATTCTGAACTATGATCAGATTCTATGTAAACAGTACTCATTATTTGAACAGTAATTTCACTGGATGCCCTCTTCCTCTTCCTCAAATAATCAGTTGTATCATGACTTTTGCTCCTACTTGAGTAATTATTGATAAATAAACAACATTATTTGTACTTGAGTACAGATTCTGGCTACCCAGCACTGATGCTGACTTACCTAGCACTGGTGTTACGAAGAATGACGAGGGCATCAGGAAAGCCATCCATGTTGTAGTCTCCTAAATGCAGGGTGATGGGAATGTCTGAAGACACAAATCCCCACACAGAATCCTTCCTCCTGAAGTCCGTTAGCACCGGCACCCACTGGAATAACAGAGGAAGGCAATTCAGTTACATGAGCTGGCATACAGTACAAGAGATCACTGCTACACTAAAAGGAAAAGCAATATAATTGTTCAAAAGTTAACTAAATTCACAACACAGTTCAAGCAGTTAACTAACGAATCACTATATGAAGTATTACACAGAAAGTACAAAATTAAATGTTTAAAATAAATATTACTGCATATTAGACACGTAATACAGGTTTTTTATTTTTTTTAATTTTTTTTAAAGTTTTTCTGATTTTATAAAGTGACAAAATGACATTATTAAATTAGTTGATGATGAGTAGGGGACGTTGGGTAGCAGTTTAGGAATGTCGCTCGTTTAAACCAGTCTCTGATATGAGCCAAAATTAACAGGTCATGTGAACACCCCCCCCCCCCCCCCCCCCCCCAAAAAAAAAATTGGACTGAATGTAGCCAAAGCAAGGAAGCACACCAGGCAGTGTTATGGTTCTCTTGCCCTCTGGGTTCAGTCACTTGCACGTGTGTGGGGGAGGCACAGGCGCAGATGCTACAGGCTTTACTCACTCATGAATGTAAAACAGAGTGCCAGGTGCATCTCTGCATGTTTACATCCATGGGGATGAAGGCACAGAGACAGGAGGGAGGGAGAGAAAGAGATTGCAGGGAGAGGGGAGATGGACACAAAGTGGTAAAGAGGGAATGCAGGAGAAAGAAGGCAGAGCGTTCTGCAATGGCTGCTAATAAGATTTTCTCCTGACCCTCGGTACACAGCCAGAATCAGCAATGCATGGATCAGGCATAGAGAGAACATGTGTATTTGTACAAACTATTTTGCATTTGTACAAAATAATAAGTCTAAAGCAAATATTGGTAATATCGCTAAAGCAAGAAGAACTAATTAATGTTAGTCTCCTTTCCACTGAAAAGAAAAATAGAAGTCAAGCTCGTGAGTCATGGTGTGCACTGTAAGCCTAGCTGCCTCATTATGAGCAAATGTGAGAGTCCTGCAATGTTTGTTTACATTGCAGCACCATTTCCCGCTAAGCGCTTGACAGGTTATCTAGGACAATTTCTGTTAAACCGTGGTTTAAAATATTTGAAATGCAGTTCAGACTGTTAAAGATATACAGTAACAATTACAAAACGTACAAACAGTTTAAGCATCACAATAGCTAAAGAATTAAAGATATAACTAACATATATATACTCTCATAAATAGGGATGTAACGATTAACCGTGAGCCGGTTGAAAATCGATTCAAATGTGTGACGATTCAAATCAGTTGAGATGCTAAACAAATCGCAATTCAATTAGGGGTAAGAGTTTATATGAATGTATCTCTGAGGGGAACTTACAGTCTTTAGAAAAGTTTCAATGTTTTTTTTTTTTTTCATCTTGCCTCTGTATAATGCATATTAAAGTTCACAAGTGCAGCGCTGCTTTGTTTACAGCGGAAAGCAAGGAAACGCTTAAAGCAGAGAGTGAATCTGCATCTTGTTCAGCTCAGCCTTCATGCAGATATTTTTTATGTATAGTTTCACAAAACTGAAGTCAAATCATTCTGTTTTTGCTTCAAATTTAGAAATTATACAACCTCATTTAGATTAAAAACAGTTCATGTTTCATGTATGCAGCATCTTTGTTTGGATCGTGATTAAAATGCAGTGGTTGCCTCTAATTTTAAATGGAAAGAGCACAGACAAAGCCTTATTTTGTTTATATGAAGAATTTTTTTATTTTATTTGTGTTACTTATTTGATTTGGGGCTTGTTTTAAAATTTCAATTTAGTTTTGTTATATAAATTTACATTAGCCTATATTTAAATGTTGTTATTTAGCAGACGCTTTTATCCAAAGCGACTTACAAATGAGGACAATAAAAGCAATCAAAACCAACAAAAGAGCAATAATATGCAAATGCTATATTAGTATATTATTATAGTGTTATATTTCAATTTCACAAAGAAACGTGCAGCTTTTTTGTCCAAGCAATAATAAAAGGACACATTTAATTTATAATTTGTCTTAATTGTCCATTTTGTACAAAACAAATTGTGACTCAAATCGAAAAGTGAAATCAAAATCGTGAATCGAATCGTGAGTTGAGTGAATCGCTACATCCCTACTCATAAACATAATTAACCTTCAAAAATTTGAGAAAATAACTAACCTTATATCTGCTAGAGTTGTAACACAGATTATCAAGCTCATTCATGACAGGCTGCATGGATGGGCAGGGAGGTTTTTTGCCCAGAACAGAACCATACCGCCAAACCAAACTTTATGCTAAGTATCTATCATTCTGACGATAGTGGTCCTGACAGAACAATAACTAACCTTTAAAACACTATAACAACACTTGTCAAACAGTTACAATAACTAACCTTTAAACATCAGAATTGTGGCAAGGCACAGATCTGGCCAAGGTTACAAAAAAATTTCTGCTGCACTTAAAGTTCCTAAGAGCACAGTGTCCTCCATAATCCTTAAATGGAAGACATTTGGGACGACCAGAACCCTTCCTAGAGCTGGCCGTCCGGCCAAACTGAGCTATCGGGGGAGAAGAGCCTTGGTGAGAGAGGTAAAGAAGAACCCAAAGATCACTATGGCTGAGCTCCAGAGATGCAGTCGGGAGATGGGAGAAAGTTGTAGAAAGTCAACCATCACTGCAGCCCTCCACCAGTCGGGGCTTTATGGCAGAGTGGCCCGACGGAAGCCTCTCCTCAGTGCAAGACACATGAAAGCATGGAGTGAATTGATGAATGATTATATTATCTGCTCGGTGGACGGACAGATCAAATAATTGTAATATTGATTCTGCTGCAGTTAATTCGAAGATATAATCTAAATATTTATTATGAATCATAACCAGTTATAATTTGTCATAAATATTCCCCTTTTTAGAGCTAATAAATAATAAAAACATTACATGGGATTACCATGGTCTATTGTATTAAAGGCAGTGGTAAGAGAGATTTTTTTTTTTTGCTATGATAAGTTGTAAACTGTGATGAAATGTAACAATAACCAATCTTTAAACCAAATTAGAGATATAACAATTGCTAACTTTCAGAGAAAAGCAACCGTGAGTTATGTAAGGCATTTCCGAACATCACACAAACCAGATGAGTCGTAAAAGCATGAACCGTGGTCAGCCCAGGCGTACCTCTCTCCAATGAGTTCCTGCCTCGCTCTGCTTATCTTTACAAAGAAAACACGGAGATAATGATTTACCAAACCACCTCCGATGTCTATACAATACTAAGACAACAAGAACTGACCCCTCCCATCTGGATTCATTTAAGCCACAGAAGGTCAGTAGGTTTCGTGACTGGCTTCAGCATAAATAAACCATCTAATGGACCACGGAACAAAGAACCTGGTATCTAGACAGCGTCCCGCACAGAGTCGCGCGGACCTCATGACCGCTTAACACATAAATTGATAATCCCGTCAACAAAAGAGACAATTTTATAGCCCCCTGTCCAGCAGGAGAAACTGGGCAGACTCTCAACTCTGACACAAATTTTACCTCAGGACATCTTCCCTTTTCCCCCTTTGCGCTCCAAAGAAAAAGACGATTTCTGAGACAATCGTTGAACGTATGAAAATATCGGAGCATAGAGTCACAAATAATATGTTGTATGTCTTAGATATATATACTTGA